TTATTTATTTACAATGAAAGTAGGAGGAATTTAAACAAACATTGCAACTCTAATATTTACATAAACTAGCTTATTGTTAGCACATCCCTCTTGGCCATTAACTCACCTGCTGAAATCTTTCTCCGTCTCCAATTCCTCCTCTCCATGACCCAGACGCAGGAGGTGGCGCTCATCAATGTCTAGAGCCATGATTTTCTCAAACAGCTGGTTCAAGGCCTAAAGATTGACAAGAACAGGGGAAAGGGTAGTTTTTAGAAGTTCAGAGGCTCTTGCAGGGAAAACTGGAGATTTACCGGTAAGCAAGCTGGAAATTAATACCTATTTTGGTAAGAGCTGAAACTAAAGCAACATGAAGACAATACTTAAATTAGAGCTCTTAACACCTCAGGGATGGGGGAGAAGTAGTCCATTGATACTGCTGTCTTTTCACTAACACGTATCTACAGCTTGTAAAGCAATTCACCCACATTTCTAGATTGTGATTTAAGAAGACACTAGCCATTTGTTTACTGAATTATTTCAAGGAATGCACTTCTTAGCACTTATTTGATATGACAGCACTGACTTGCATAAAGATTTTGTCTGCTCAATATTTACCATATATGGGTAATATCCAGTAATCTACAAAAGCTTTGTCTATTTCCTGGAAGGTGTTTTAGCTAAAAGTTCCAACTGGGTAATTAAATTTTGTCCACCCATGGCACCCTGGGGTATCATGACTCCCCAGCTCAGGGGTGCTGCAACATGTGCTGCTGTTGCCACAATAGCAGCCAGGTAAAACTGCATTAGGGCAGGGGTTTTCAACCTTTTTAAATAAGTGTACCCCCAGCAACTGCCATTTTAATAAGTGTACCTGTGGGGGCAGGGGGTGGCAAGTGGCTGGATCCAGAGCGGGGAGGGACAGGGTGGTGAGCAGCCAGATGTGGAGCAGGAGTGCGGCAAGCAGCAGCAGTGCAGCATCTGTGCGGCCCTGCTCTCGTCCCACCCCTGCCCTGCTCCTGTGAGGCAGCAGTGCATGGTGGCAGCACGCCATCTCTGCCCAACCCCGTGTGCCCCTGGGACCTTTCAAAGTACCCCCATGGGTTCACTTAACCCTGGTTGACAAACCCTGCATTAAGGCACTCCCAGAGACAAGAAAGCATGAGGAAATTTCACCCATGGGCCTCTGTTTCTGGGAGGGACATAGGGAGGATCTGGGCCAGGACTGGCTGTACAGCACAAAGCAACTTCTGCCTGCTTGAGCCTGATCAGGTAACATTAATGCAGGAGTAGCAAAATCACATATTGCAGTCCTACCCAGACTGCTGCAGGCAGCATGTGCAGGGCAGTTTTATCTGGAGGTAGTAACACTCAGCTGAGAAGCAATGACATATGTTGAGAGAACAACAACAGTGCTTCTTAACTGGGGATGCCACCACATTTAAAGAAATGCTGGAAAGGTGCCATGGCTTTGAAAAGATTTTAAAATGACTGCCTTAGTTTCAATTGCTTGGATATACTTCACTTTTGGGACATCTACATGAGACCCTGACTGCACAGTAGCTGGAAAATACTGTGAAGTAGTGCATCACAGCATAAGCAGTGCTAATATGGTACTGTTCAGCATTATTAGGCTACTGTGCAGCAGTAGTGCCATCTAAATGACGTTCGCCAATGCTACTGTGCAGTAGCTCTGGTTCCTGTGCTAACACAAGTACTAAATAAATGCATAGTAACAACTGCGCAGTAGTATCTCTTAAACTGTGTTGTAAACACTGGTGGAATAGTGCTGTTTAATAGGTTTTCACTATTTACCTCACTTACATTTGAATGAGAAATAAAATGGAAACACCCACAAACACTTGCAACCATTAGTCCAGTCTCTTTCTCTACAACCCTTGTACCACTGTAGCCTGACCCCACAGGTCCACAGCATTACTGTTCACATTTGTTTTAGAAGAAAAGGAGGAAGTGACTTCTGTTCTGTTGTGCTTAGTAGGAACCTTACCAGAAAAGATTAGAGAGGTGAGGTGGCACACAAAAGAAGTTATTAAAGGTTTGGCTGCATACAAGATCTAGTCTACTAGAAAAGGCCTGCTCTTGTACTTATGCTAAGAAATCCTCCTAGGGTAGACAAAGAAGGAGTTTCTGCTGACAAATATATTTGGGCCCTGAAAAAGAAGATAAAATAGAAACAGCATGTTTATGACTCTATGACTGCGCATCAATGCATGCTACTTCATAGAATTTTTATGTTAGCAAAAATCAATTCATAACTCTAAATGATGGTACTGTAACAGCAGAAATTTTCTAGTGTAGACCAGACGATATGACAGGTAATTCTGCAAGACCTAATGAACGATGTTGCACTCCTGCTCTTCTTCATAATCTGATGATGTCAATGTTCTAGAAAGGGAAATCACCAGAGAAACAGGAGTAGGAATGGGATGGGACTTCCTCCTTGGGGGTAAGGACTAGCTTGTCAAGGTCTGTGGAAAAAACTCAAAGTACTCTCAGAACAACTCT